AAAAATATTGTTTGGTGTTTCTTGTACTCAAAAAGTTTAAGAAACACTGATTTAAAACATTAGAATTAAGTATATTCATATTTTTATTTTATACATTAAGATTTTTCCAGAAAAAGTATTTTTTGTTTCTTCTGAATTAATTTAAATCATTTTGTATAATATTCTTTTCAAATGTATAAAAATGTTATTTATACAACAGGTGACATTATATATGGAATCTAAAGCTGGGAAATACATTTACTTAATGCATAGCTTAATAAGTTATGAGAAAAGCCCTTACATGACATTAAATAAACTCAAACGTAAAACAATCAAAAAACTAAAACCGAGACAGCTCAATTGCGAAGAAGTAGTAGATTATGACAAACCTCACAATTTTAAGACACATAACTTTAAAGGGCTTAATTGGTGTGAGTTGTGTGGTAACTTTCTATGGGGTTTTACACAGCAAGGAGTGAAATGTGAAGGTATATTTAAATGTTAAATAGATGTTCTTTCTTACATTTAACAAATTAATTACTTTATTGTTTTAGATTGTGGTTTCAGTGCACATTTTAAGTGTTCTGAAAAGTTACCACCAGATTGTTATCCGGATTTAAAATTGTTTCGGGGTGTTTTTGGGATTGATTTAACAACTCATGTTAAGGCCTATAAAACTAATCGCCCGTTTGTTGTTGACAAATGTGTTGAAGAAATTGAAAGGCGTGGCATGTCTGTTGAAGGAATATACAGAGTATCAGGTTTTCAGGAAGAAATGGATAGTTTGAGATTGGCCTTAGATAAAGGTAGAATTTTAATTACTACCCAATTATAAGCCACAGTATACACATTTTAAATTAATTTAATAAAAAATGTGTAGAACAATTGAAATAAAAAATTATAAATCTATAATTGAGCTTCTTAAATTTTATGACAATAATTGTTTTTAGATGGTAAAGGAACAATAATGGACGATCAAGCTTATGAAAATATACATGTAGTAGCTAGTATTTTAAAAATGTACCTCAGATTGCTTCCAATACCACTAATAACTTATGATGTTCATCCTCTTGTCATAAAAGCTTTAGGTATTTTAACACTAAATATGTTAAATTTTAAATTAATATATTCAACAAATTTTCTCTTTTCTAGAAACTCAAATGTCCTGGGAAAGATTAGCTGAAATGAGGGCCGCTTTGAAAAAATTACCACCAGCACATTATAACACTTTGAGCTATTTAATGGCTCATTTGTACAGGTAAATATTTACTCTCAAATTATTGGTCCAAATGTCATTACTATATTGTCATTAGTCGAAAAATATAATTCTTCCTTATAATAATATTAGACTTAGCAAAAACTAAAATCACACTACATCCTATTGTGAAGTTGTGTATAACTTCAATACACAACAAGCTTACAAATGGTAGACTCTATAAGGTGACAGACATGTATTTCCTTTCCATTGCCCGCTAAAAAAAAAGTCCGCATAACAAAAACTGACTGGTGACTGGCGTGACTCTAGCCGCAATTTTCAATAAGTGGTCATAAATGTAAAACTAATTGCCGCGTTTTTTTAAATTTATTTGTTCACATGGATTATATTGATTTATTATTAT